ACGAGATGCAGATACGCAAAAGAGACATAAACAACAATGTGACGATGTTGCACTTTCCTCGTCGTCATCGTCGTCCTCCTCCTCATCTTCCTGCTCCTTCTCCTCCCCCGCCACATCGTCCAGCTCCCCCCCGTGACCCCCTCCGCTTCCCTCCTTCCTCTTCTTCCTCCCCCTTCGTAACCTCCCGTCTCCTACTGAAACGGCGGTCATCCGAACAATCCGTCTTCTCTCCTTCTGCTCTGTCTGACTGCTTCAAGTATCCGCGCTGATTCTCCGCGCTCGCAGCCGAAGGAGGAGGAGGAGGAGGAAGAGGAGGAGGGAGGAGGAGGAGGAGGAGGGAGGAGGAGGAGAAAAAGAAGGGGGATGAGCAGGAAGGAAACGGATAACGAGGGGAGGAGGGCTGGCGGAGCAGGAAGGAAACGGATAACGAGGGGAGGAGGAGGAGGAGGAGGAGAAGGAGGAGTAGGAGGAGTAGAAGGAGGAGGAGGAGGAGGAGGAGGAGGAGGAGGAGGAGGAGGAGCGAGGAGGAGGAGGAGCGAGGAGGAGGAGGAGGAGGAGGGAGGAGGAGGAGGACGAGGTGACCCGCCGCTTTCGCCGGCCTCCCGCCCCGAAGGTCCACGAGAACGGCGGCTGCCGTGGCCTCTCCAAGGCCCCATTCATCCCCAGCGTTTGCACGTGCTCTTCGTGCTGCCGGAGCTGCACCCCCAAGCGCTGTTTTTTGAATGTCGGGGGCGACAAATGATTCGTTTTGTGCTCGTCGCGCTGCCGGAGCACTACTCCCAGGCCGCATGTTGAGCGTCTGGAGCCAACTGCCGGCCATTTCGTGCTCGTCGTGTCGCAAGAATACCACTCCAAGGCACCACTTTGAGTCCGGAGCCAACTGTCGGCCGTTCCGTGCTCCTCAGATCCTGGGCGTGGCTTTGGCCCCCTTGCACCCACAACGTCGGCTTTTCTTATTTCCGCCAGCGTCCGCCGACTTTTACCAGCGCAGGAGATGCCACCTTCGCGGGCTTTGGCAAGCAAGAGGGTTCCGGCATTCGTCCCATATGTAGCTATGCATATACAAGCCATGTAAATCGATATGTCAATACTTACTTATGTAAAATTACTAAATATATTACACAATAGAAACACGCGCGCGCTTCGCGCGCTGAGGTTCTAGCATGCTCTAATTGAAATCTGAGTGTCCATCATCGGAGGACATCTATTGTCACACGGGTCGTGAACCTCAGGGAGCTCCAACGCGGCCCCAAAGACAGGCTTGGCTTAGCGTCCCCCCGCCCATGTCGGCACATCCCATCACAGAGATCGCGCCCCACGAGGAGCAACACAGACGTCCCGAGAGACAAGGTTCGAATAGTGGCACGCCCCTCAGGCGGATCGTGTCCCGTGAGCAACTGCATGTGTGGCACCAGAGGGAAGCTTCATAGCGTCGCCCAGCTCACTTCGGCACATCTCTCACACTGATCGTGGCCCGCAGACGCTTCCACGGACGGCCCCGGAGACCAGGTCCGCACCCCGCCCCCTCGCCTCCTTCGGCGGCGCACCTCTCACACGAATCGTAGCCCACAGGGACCTCCACCTGCGGCCCCAGATGCAGGGTGCGCACTGCGCCCCCCCCCCCCCCATATCTGGCCATTGCGACACACACCCCATCACGTGGATCGCGCCCATAAGGAACACCACCTGAAGGCTCAGAGACACGTTGTGTACAACGCCCCCCCCGCCCATGTCCGCACACCCGTCACGGAAAGCATGCCCCAGAAGGAGCCCCACCTAGGGCACCAATGGGCAGCTTCGCTTGGTGTCCCCCTTCCAATTTCGGAACATACTGAGGCCCAAGCCTGGACCAAATAAAATTCGGAGATCGTCCCCAGGACCGTGAAATCATGGAAAAAAATGTTCCGCAACGCCTGTGTTCAAAAGTAAGTGTTTTGGACGTATCTTGGAGGCAGTTTTGGGGCCCCCCTGGGGGTGTCTTGGAGGCATCGTGGAGGTCTCTTGGAGGCATATTGAATGCAATTGTTGGGCCCCTTCGGGGCTTCCCGGGGGGCCTCTTGGATTGCTTCTGGGAGCCTCTTGGGGCCCTTCGGGGGCCTCTTGGGGCCTCTCTAGGGCCTCTTGGGGCCTCCCGAGGCCAAGGCTCGACATTTGAGCTTGGTTTTCCTCCTCTTTGAACCCCTTTTGGGCCTGTTCTGGGGCTCTCTTGAGCCCTCTTAGGGGCCTCCTGGGCCGTCTTGGGCCCTTCTTGGGCTGTCCTGGACCATCTGTACCATCTTGGGAGCCCGATCGAGCGAGACGCAGCGAGATGGGAAGGATGAGCTGCGAGGGCGCTATGCTTCGTTAATACTGGGCCCCTGATGCCGCAGCGGGGGGCCGCTGTTGCCGCTGCCGCCAGCTCCCTCGAGGGCATCGAAAGCGTTTTGGAGGCCTCCTGGACAAGCTTGGGAGCCCTTTGGGCCGTCTATGGGACGGTTGTTGCTTCTTGGGGCCCGGGGGACCTCCTGGGGGCCTCTTGGAGCGTCTTGTGGAGCCTTGGGGCTGTCGCGGATTCATCTGGGGCCGTCTTGGAGCTCTCGTGGGGCGCTTTTGGGGGCCTCGAGGGCCTGACAAAATGCCCGGCACGAGTGGGACGGGGCGCACATGGCGCGCGAGCGGCTGAAATGACGTTCCCACCTCGGCGCTGCATCTAGGTTTGACGCGCGAGCGGACGACAGTGTCGCTTTCGCCCTGGCGCGCCGCATATTTTTCACGGGCCCCGAGCGACCGGGCGACGTATCGCCCTCGCTGAATTAAGCGCCGTGCGCACGCCGCTTGGAGGTGGCATTCCCGCCTGGGCGCGGTGCATGCTTCGCTCGCCGACTCGCATGACAGCGGCAACGGCAGCAGGGCCACGCGAGAGCGGGCGAAATGCTGCCCTCGCCCAAGCGCCGCGCAAATTGTGCGCGACAACGGCAGTGCCGCGTCGGTGTGGCGCGTGCTGTCTTCGCCGAGCTCATCCGACGCGTGGCCGCCCAAGGAGGAGCGGAATGGTGCTTCCGCCACAGCGCCGCGCAAGGACTCCCTGAAGTTCCAGTCCCGCCCCTGCGCGGCCCGCGCAGTCGCCGAGTCGTCGGAAGCGGGACCGCGCGCGAGCGCCGTTTGTTCGTTGGGCGGGAGCGCGCTGCAATCACAAGATCCAGTTGTGCCGCACTTGATCTTCATATGATGAGGAGACGGCGGAGACGGGCGGGTTGCGCCCCACTTGGTTCGCTCGACACGGTTAGCTGGAAACTCCTCCTGCTCTTCCGCCTGGATTCCTCCCCCTGCGAAATGACTCCTCCTGGCGCACCCACGGACGTGTCGGCAGGGCGGTCTGGGCGCTTCGCCCAAGAATGCTTCACCACTTTTGATCATAAAACTTGGAGCTCGCACCATTTACGAGAATAAGTCGTTCTCGAGATGGGGCTCGCGCATTCGCGCCGCGCACATTCGTCTTGAACGCCTGCGACGGCTTCAAGGATAGATGGGCGGCGGGTTTCAAAATAGAGCTCGAGCATTAGCGCCGCGGGTACTCGTCTTGAACATGTTGCAACAGTCACGGGGGCCGAGGACTGTTTTTTCACATGAGGCTGAAGACAGTGTGGTAGGTATTCCGAATGCACGCTCAATGGGCTCCACCAGCAGTGCCCCAGAGACTTGCGATTGATTTGTGTTGATGGAACCTGGGCTCCATTCAACTCTGGAAGGCACACCAAGTCCTCAAGGAGGAGCCCCGTAGCTTTGAGCCCCAATTCTCATTGGAAGGGTTGCCCAAGAAGGTTCCCCCAGTCAAGCGCTCGAGTCGCCACAAGCAAAGGCGAACCGTTCCGAAACCGTGCGATGGTCCTTTTTCCACCGTCTCCACCTCCTCATCTTCCTTTTCTTCCTCCTCCTCCTCCTCCTCCTCCTCGTTTTCCTTCTCGTTCTCCTCCTCCTCCTCCTCCTCGCACATGCCAGACACCTCCTGCGGCTTGCCGAGGGTGATCGCCAGCCCAGAACCGCGGGCCTCGAGGCGGCGGCGCAGGCAGGCCAGGCCTTAGAGGACCCCGGACGAGGTGGGGCCCGCGCGCGCGCGCGACGTGCTGCTCTGACCCCGAACAGAAGGGGGGGGGGCGGAGGGTGCAGGCGGAGGCCGCGGAAGGGGGGCGCAGGGGCTGGAGGTGCAAGGGGGGGAGGGAAAGAGGAGAGGCAGGAAGAGAAGAACAGGGGGGAGGAAGGGAGGAGCGAACGATGCGGCTGGGGCGCACCGTCAGGTGATGCAGAGGCGCCCGACGGCCCGACGCCGCCGCGCAGGCTCGGCGAGACCCTCCAGGCGGATCGAGCGGCCTTCCCGGCGTCGATGTTCTTGCGGTGGTGCAGCTCGCTGTCATCGATGGGCAGGTCGCTGCGCGGCATGCCACGGCGACGTGCGTCGCATTGTTCAAGATGCCGTCCTCGCTGATGGGGAGATTGCCCGCGAAGCCGCGGCGCACCATAGCGTTGGCGTCGTGCTGGCCGCGGGGCAAGGCGAGGTGGTGCCAGAGCCTCGTGCACTGCATGGAATACGCCGTCGGATCGGGCTTGTCGCGCTTGGGGCAGCACCCGGTGACGCAGTGCTTCTTGCGCGGGTTCATGTGCACGCAGTAACTGGTCGTCCATGCGCCCGCGTATGTCTTCATGATGGGCTGGAACCGCGACGGCGGTGCATGTGCAATCACGCCACGCGCTGAACGCCACTCCTGTCGCAGAGAGGTCGGGAGCTGGGCCATGGAGATCATGTCGATTGCGTCCTCGTTGGCCTCGTTGGCGGCGTGAAGAAGCGTCTTGTCGAGTCGTCGTTCGAAAGGTCGACCTGGTGGATCTCGCGTCGACTGGCTCGGTGTTCTTCAGCAGCAAGACTCTGTTGCCGCTTGATTTCTACGCTTGGGCGGTCTTGATGATATAGCTGATGTCGCCACCATCGCCCCCAACCCAGTCTTAGCCCGAGCCTTTTGTTCGCATGAGCCTGTCGCCCGCTGCCACAAACATTCCCCCGGAAATCCGCGGTGCAAGATTTGGGACAGAGCCTTTCGGAAGACCGGCATGATGTACGGGATGCACCATTGAATCCGCCGCGTCGCCGTTGACGTTGTCCAGGAAAGTTGCCAGGAGCCAATCCGCTGTCTAGCGTTCGGCGCTTTCGGCAAGAACGTTCGCAGCTTTGGCTGCACGGGCGAGGTCTCCTCCTCCGCGAGCTCGACGGCTGGTTTCAGCGAGTGCGTCGCTTTCGTCAGCCAGATCATCGCTATCGCGAGGGAGGCGTGTGACGGCATTTCGACGTTCTGAGGCGTTGCCACAGCCTGCTTGCTGATTCAGATTGGCGTCGCCACCGCCTGTTGTACAGATGCCGGGGCCGACCGCCGAGAATCGCGACGCGATGTGATTGGCGATGGTAGTGTCGAAAGAATCTGCGTAGAGGTAGCAGTGGAGCTACGGGAAAAAACTATCTGAAACGCCCGCCGAATTTTTCTCAGCGCCATTCGCCACGTTCATGTCGCGAAGGGCATGGCGACCTCACCCTGCAGCGTGGCGATGGGCGATCAGAAGTCGGCGATCTGCGCGCCGTGAATTGCCGGGCGAGCGCGCGGAGTATTTGCGCACGGAGCCCTTGCATCTGGGGTGGAGGGCCCATTGACAGCTTTCTCGATGCGCTGCGCAGTCGAGACGTCGTGAAGCCAGCAGGCTACGCACCATTGGCCATCATTGAGCTTGATCACGGTCTGGTTCTTCAGCTGCTCCAGGCCAGGGAGACGCGAGACTTGGGCTCGGAGGGCCCGCGTTGGCCCGGCGGGGCCATCGAGAAAATTCCGATGCCCGATCTGGAATTTGAAGCGAACTCCCGCTGCAAACATCCCACAAAAACTGCACCGCTAAAGCCCAGGACGCGCTCGCCAGGCAGCGTCGGCAAATCCGAAATCTGGCGTGCTCGAGTCTCGCGTTTCCCCGACCAGGATGGATTGCCATCCAGAAAATGTCGCCATCGGAGTACGGCATGACGCAGGCGATAGCGACACTCCTGAGCCCGCGGGGACCTCGGCGCCGCTCCTTGCGCGCATGGCTAGAATGTCGATGTTCGCGAAGCTCGAAGGGGCCGCGCGTAGTAGCTTGCGCACCGCGTGCATTTCTGTAGTCGAGGAGAGCGGAGCGGGAAGGTAGAGCTGGCCGGCGTAGGAGAGGCAGGTGGTGGCGACAATGTTGTAGAGCTTGATGGGCGTCCGGGTCGGACTGCGCGACTCGCCGAAAATCTGGGCGCGGTTCCGCCGATTCGCCACGGGGCTGGCCCACTGGCCCGATAATACGGCGCCTGGGTTAACAAGAGCTCCAAAATATCACGCCTTGTCCGCGACTTTGAAGTGGCTCCAATCCGGGTGGATCTCGTTCAGAATGCCGCGGGCATTCGGGGTGATGTCGCTGGCGGGTAGCATCCAGACAAAGGGTTACGATGCATTTCTTTGGTAGCAGGCGCAAGCCAGCGTAAAGTGCTGCAGCTAGAAGATACGGATGCAGAAGCCGCAGGTCACGAAAATGCGCGAGCGCGATGCCGATGTCAACAGCGCGCGCGCTGATCTTGCCTGCGCAGCGCGCGTCCATGATGAGCTGCGCGCCGCGCGGGAATGGGTCGCGCACGTGGGCCCAGATCGCGCCGCCGAGCTGGCAGCCTTGCGCAACCCCGTTCGCCACCGTGAGAAGTGGGCGCCATGCGCCGTTCAGCTCGATGAAGTTGACGGGAGGGAAGTAGCCGGCCTTGAGGAAAGCGCCAGGGATGGGCCGCATATCCCCCAGCGCATGCGCACAGCGCATAGCCAGGGGCGCGCCAGGCTCGGGAAGGCAATGGCAATGTCCGCGCTCAGGAAGCGAGGCAGGCTGGCGCCGGCGACAGGGTCAAGGCTGCACTCTGTGCTCATGGCGCCCACGTTGACTTCGTCGTTGAGGAATTGGTGTCAAGGGGCGGTGCCCTCGTAGGTCGTGGAAGTACGAGGCACCACTGGGTGTAGCTTGCGATTGGCAACCAAAGAGATAATATTGATGTCCGCGTCCACCGTGCCCGGCGGTCGCTAGACAATCAAGAACGCGCGCGCGCGCGCGCGCTCGCGTTGTCCTAGGCGCTCGTCGCCTTTTGGAAACATCGCCATCGGGGAGCGATTCAGGTCGCGCGGGGTGGATCCACCGCGCGCGACGTGACTCGCCAGTTTGGCGACGGCGGTGGAACTGCTGGGCATCTTTAGCCAGGCCTTGCGCAGCAGCCCGTCAGGGCCTGGGGCCGAGTCCGACGCGCGGGCGGCAGCGGCGAGGAGGTCACCGGGGTCTGGCAGCGCCGGGTCGAGGAGCGGGGGGCTGGGGATAGACTTCAAGATGAAAGCCGTGGATCTCAATTAACTTCGCCGTCTCGGCCTCGAAGACGGGGGCCACGTGAGCTTGGATGGCGGCGTGCATGGCCATGGGGCCCTTGGCCGCGCGGTGCCGAACCCCGGTTGAAAGACGCATTTCTACCCGCGCAAGTCTTTCCGTGAACGGCCGCAACAATTCACCACGTCGGCGTGCCGCGCTGACGCGCTAACGCCGGCGAGCTCCCACTTGACGTCTGTGGCGTCGGTGAAGTTTTCGAAAACGCGCGGCCGCTCGCTGGCGTTGTTCACCACTGATGGCCGCGTGAACAGCAGTGGCGGCAGTGGCGAAAATGTCAACATTCTTCAGCTCAGCGTTCGCGCGGGCGGCGGGGAGGCTCGCGCGATCTGCAGGTGCATTTGGGCGAGCGCGGCGTCCTGGGTCAGGCGCCGCTCCAGCCGAGGCCCCGGTGCCAGACCGCCCTGGCGACGCCGCACGTCGCCGTGGAGGTCGCTTCCTGTGAAATGGCGGCGCGCTCCGACTTGATGGCTTGAGGGTGGATCTTCAGCGCGGCGTCGCGCGCGTTGGCGGCGGCCGCGATAACGTTACTCTTCAAAGGCCGTCAACCGGCGCCGGGGCCGGCGAGCTCGGCGTCAGCGAGGTCGGCGAGCTTCTCGCAGTAGCAGCCGTGAAACTTGGAATCGGAGACGAAAGCTGGGATACCCCGCGCTGCCAATGGCATTGCTGTCGGGGCGCGGCCAAAGGCGCAGGATCTTGCGGCCACTTGCCGGCTCTCCATCCAGCTCGAGGGGTTGGCTATTGACGACGAGGTGAGCTTCGACGCGCGGGGTGTTGTGGGCTTCGTGAAGATCCCGTTGACCGCGGCCTCTGTCTGAGCGTCGAGATCCCCGTCGCGCGCTTGAAATCTGATTCCAGAAGGTGGGCTGGCACTGGGTCCGTGATCGAGATAGATGCGACGCGTCCACCCACCACGGGCTGGAACTTGATGATGGGCTTAGCACTGTTCGGGTCGCGCATGAAGTGCTTGTCAATGTGAACGAAGAAGCCGACCCCGCCCGAGGAGTCGTCATCGAGAACCCCATTGTGGTATGCGATGTAGCCGTGCTCGGTAGAGTTGGCGAGGTTGGTGAGCTCGGCGCGGGTGCCGTGTGCCTCTTGCAAGGCAATCAGAATCTTCTGGCAGATGTAGGGGGCATCATGCGGCGCATGGTGCTGCGGCGGCTGAGGGACGTGTCCTTTTTTCACGTGCGTGCTACAGGAGGCGGTGTTGGTGCCGTCGGAATGGCGGTTGCCCCATGGGGCCCGCTTGCTGCTAAATCCGCGATGCTGCCTTGAGCGGGCCCGCGAAGAAGCTGGCACATCCTTTTTGAAATTTCATCCTCACTGGAGAGCCCAAATTCATCAGCCGCGTCTGACCACTGCACTTTGTTGGCTGCTCAGGAGTAGCACCGGCGAACATGCGGAGGAAACGTCTCCCTTGGACGAGAGATAGCCGTCCGAGCGATGAACACGGGGTAATGCTATGGGGAAGCTTGTCGGTGATGGCTTAGTGAACCTCTTGGGCCGAACTTCTTGTCATGCCATATCGGGTGACTTGTCGGCGCTGACATAGAAGGGAAGCGCACCCGTCGGATTCGCTTCCGAAGGTGCGCTATCCTCGGCCGACGCGGAGATGTTTGCATAGAGCGTGCCCGCGCGATATTGCCACCACGTCTCCACCAGAGAACGTGACGGAGACCCGATTTCTAAAGGGCTGTGCTGTTGAACTGCTGTGTGTTCGGGTTGACGCCCGTGGCCTCGAACCAGGGACGAAGAACCACTTCAAGTTGTGCTTTGCCGATTTCCACGGGTGAGCCGCACCAGGGCGTTCCAATGTGAGGTGTCCTGTCCCACGCGCCGATGTTGTACCAGTTGAGCGATGGCACCTGTGTTTCCGAGTGTGCAATATCTGATTGTAGAGTGGCGACACTCTGGCGTAGTTTTTTCCCCGAAGCGTTCTGAATATTCTTCCATGCGATGATTGATGGCATTGAGCTCGCGGTCTCGGTTCTTTTTGCGCCTGCAGAGCGTGTCTGTGATGCCGTTCACTGGTTCTGTGAACTTCCGCTGCGCGTTGGCCGTAACGCTCTTGGCCGCGGTCTCGGATTTTGATGCTGCTTCTGCGATTGAGCTTGAAATAGAGCTTCGAATTCTTGCTTGAATGCATCATTGATGCCTTGCTTGGCCGCGTCGTACCATGGATCTGTCCAGGAGAGCGTTCGCAGCCGCTGGCTCGTCCACTAGCAGGGGAGTCCCCGAGGTTGCAGGCAGTCAGGTCGCCAGGCTCCGTCGCACCAAATCTGGCCCCGCTGCGTATGATATGCATGCCAGCCGCAGGCAAATACGGTGGCGAAAGATACGAAGCTCAACTACGGTGGCGAAAAATACGAAGTTCAACCACGCGGAGGCGAGGAAGGCGGGAAATGTGTCCGATGCTGGCCATGGACCAAGTGTCTCCGTGTTCTGCCACGGGCAACGAGCATCTTGAGCCAATGCGGCGACGGAGAAGATGAGGAGGAGGAGGAGGAAAAGGAAAAGGCGGAAGGGAGGAGGAGGAGGAGGAGCAGGAGGAGGAGGAGGAGGAGAAGGAGGACGAGCGGGAACTGGAGCGGAAGGAGAAGGAGAAGCAGGAGGACAGGGATCAAGGCGGAGGAGGGGAAAGGTGGGCGACAACGAGGAGGAAGGACCCAGATCCAGAAAGGTGTGCCGCGATGGGGCGAGAGCGCCATCCTGAACGACAGGTTCGACAGGTTCAACGCGCCGATCGAAAAATGAGACCAACGCTGTAGAGGCCACACCATTTCGAGACACAAGAAACGCTCCGATTGAAACATACACATCGGAAAGACTCACGTTTGAACCCCCGTGTGTGAAGACAATACGCGGAGGGTGCAAGGTACTCAGTTACTCTCTGGCAATGTGGGGGAGAGGAGAATGTGTTTCATATTGACTAGCTGTGGAGGCTGTGGAGGGGGTGAGGAGCTGGAGGTGCAGGGGGAAGGGGAAAAAGGAGAGAGACAGGAGGAAAGATAATAGAGAGGAGGAGAGGAGGAGGAGGAGGAGGAGGAGGAGGAGGAGGAGGAGGAAAAGGAGGAGGGGGAGGAAAGGGAGGAGAAGGAGGAGGAGGAGGAGGCCTTTCTTTTTGCCGGTCTTTGCCCGCAGCGCCCGCCACCTGCTTAATGTGCTTGCTATTTCGGTTAAGTCGGCGTCATGATTTTGGCACGTCACGAATAACGCAACGTGCTCCGATCCATGTCTGCGCAACGTCAAAAAAGGAGGAGAAGCAGGAGCAGGAGGATGAACAGAAGCAGGAGCAGGAGGAGGAGGAGGAGAAGGAAGAGGAGCACGAGGAGGAGGAGGGCCAGTGGAAACCAAAGTCATCAACGATGTTGGAATTAAGCCTCCCTCTAAGCTCCCTCTTCATAGGCCCCTACAACGGTTCGTTTCCATTGAGGGAACTAACTGCCTCGCTGGAAGACAACTGTTTGAAGATCCTGAAGCGTGCCAAAACATTCTCGGGATTTCAACGCAACGTACCAACCTGACTGCTGCGTCTTGAAAATCCAGAATCGTGCCAGAACGCCATGTTTGGAACTTCGACACAGCGAATCAACAGAACTGTTGCGCCCGCGTAATCCTGAATCCTTCCAAAACACCATTTCTGGTAGGTTGATTATGGGAACCCGTGAAACTCTTGCAATTGTTCAAACGAATGTGCGCGGCGCTAAGGCGAGAGCCATATTTTGAAAAGGAATCGGTGCGCGGCGCTAAAGCGAGAGCCACATTTTGAAAACCACCCGCCCTCAATCCGTGAAGCTGCTGTCCTTTCTTAAGCTTCAGAATCATGGACTGTCGGGAAGTCTCTGGCGAAACGCCCGGCCCGCCCTAAAAACTGGCCTCGGGAGGAGTTGGAGGAGGAGTAAGGAGGAGGAGGAGGAGGAGGAGGAGGAGGAGGAGGAGGAGGAGGAAGGGAGACAGGGGCCGAAGGAGAAGGGGAAAGGGCACGGACGGGCAATACGGGGGGCACGGCACCACCGAGCGCCCCCTGGCGCGCGTGAGCGGGGCCCTCTGGGGGCCAAGCTCTCCAGCAGGAAGCGCGCGCGGCGGGCGCTGCTCTTCCGCGCGCCCGCGAGCGTGGGCCGGCAGTGCACGTCGGGGTCCACCACGTAGACAGTCGAAGAAGAAAAAACGGCACAAGCGTAAACTTTTGGCGCTCCGCGCGGACTTCTTGGATCCGCGCTGGGCCCCCCCAGCGGCGCCTCCGGGGCCGCCCCTTGCTCGCTCCGCGCGCCAGGGAGGGCAGATCCACGACATCCGCGCGGAGCGCGAAAAGTTTATGTTAATGCAATTTTTGTTCCTTCTAGACGGGCAGCAGCGACTCGGCTCCCTGGCAGGCGGCGCTCAGCGCGGGGTGGTCGTCCAGGCGCAGGTCGCAGCGCAGCCACAGGGCGCGGGTCCTCGCGGCCCCCTGCCGCGCCAGAGCGCCGGCCATACCGCGCAAGAGTCGAAGGGGGCGCGGGAGTCTCGTGTTAGGTCAGGCATGTCCCCCTACAGGCGGATGTTCGACGAAAGAGTAAACATAGCGGAAAATATATCAAAAAGAGCCAAAAATAATCAACAAATCGTAACCAAACTATTTTCTTACCATTTTTGCATATTCCTCCTGTCTTTGGGTGACCCGAAAGGGGGTCCAGCTGAAAGGGGGTGGTGCAATAGATTTGGGGCAATTGTATTGCAAATGTACTGCGCCGGAGACTTGTATTGCATTGTATTGCAAGCCGTGCGTTGCACGCGAAGATCCAGCAACACATTTGCGCCCTGGAATGTACTGCACGCCCCACATGCATTGCAACCCCACAGATCTGTTGCACCAGACCTATTGCACCACCCCCTTGTCGCTGGACCGCCTGCTGGGTCAACCCGACCGTAGAGGGACAGGCCCGACTTGAGTCTCGCGCGGGCGCCCGCGGAGCTAGACTCGAGCCAAGCGTTGGAGCAGGGACGGGGTGCGGCCGGCAGGCGCAGCGCCTCTAGGAGAAGCCCGGGGGCAGCAGCCAGGCCAGGAAGAGGCGGGGGGGGACTCCGTGGACTGCAGGCCTCGTCAAACATATCACTAGAGGCCTCCTAGATGGGGTCGGAGTAGATGGGGTCGGAGGAGTGCACCGCATCGCCGATACATCGCCGATACATCGGCGATGCACCGGCGATGCATCGGCGATGTATCGGCGACATCGGCGACGCATCGGCGACTCCAGCGTGGAGAAAATCGGGCTAGAAGAAAAAACAACGGCGTAAACATAAACTTGTGGCGCTCCGCACGAATTCTTGGATCCGGGCTGGACCCCCTCCCATGGAGCGCTGCGCGCGCCAGGGGCGGCGCCGGAGGCGCCGCCGGGGGGGCCCCAGCGCGGATCCAAGAAATCCGCGCGGAGCGCCAAAAGTTTCTGTTTATTGCGTTTTTTCCTTCGAATGTCACTGCGCTGACCTTGCAGACGTACTGCAGCGGATTCGTGCGTGGATTTCTGTCAACGCACAACCCCGAAACGGAGAGCGAAAAATTATGTGAATTCCACGTGGATGTTGCTTGGACCAACAAAAAATTCCGCACGAAATTGATTTCGGAAATCCGGAACGAATTCTCCAGGACACTCCGGGCCCATCTTATTGTTTTCCGAACAATATCCGCTCTATGATGTTGGCGCCATGAAAAATAAATCGAAACGATGTTCAAAATCGAAGCACTCGATTGTTCGGGCACGTGTCAGAAAACGCGTTCTTCAATGCTGTGAGGGTGCTGCCAGATTTCGGACACCCCTGCGTCGGGGCCGCATACCTCATGCCAACATTGAAATAGCGCCGACCACGCACGCATCGAACACAAAAACCGTCAATTTGTTTGACGAGTCTTGTACGGGAGAGAAGGCAGGCATAACGGCACAGTCAAGCTGCTCGCATAAGGAGCGCTAGATCAAGAACGAAGGCCCTCCATGGCCCCAGAAGCGGCCTGGTGCACGAGGAGCGCTAGAGGAGAAGTTCTGGACAGACCTTCAGGAACAGCAAGCCAATTCAGAACCCGACCTGTTCCTTGTTTAAACATATTGACTGCAATGTCAAAACAAAAAACACAACACATAGAGAAACGAAAGAGGGGGTAAGGGAATGAAGACCGACACAACCCCTTTGCTCCCCCCCCTGTCTCTTCACCTTCCATACACTCCCATCCCATTGCCTGACCTTCCTCGTGCCCTCTTGCCCCGGGTCGTCTCCATCGCGTAAGCCGGACAAGATCGAGCCTGCAGAATCGGGAGAAGTAAGCGGCTGCAGGCGGCGGTACGCCCCGGAGCCTCTCTATCGTCTGGATCAAATAGAACGGTGCCTCGAACTCCTCCGGCGCAACGTAGACGGCAGCGAGCCAGAGCGTCCTGACACGTGGCAGCGCAAGACAAGTGTGCAGCACAGAGGCGTCGGCGGAGGCAGGGGAAGAGAAGACGCAGGACGAGGAAATGCGGGATGGGTGAGGAGGGCGGGTAGATCGGGGGCGCGCAAACATGGATTAGTGATCCATGGATTTGGCGCACGGTCGCCAAATCCGTCGATCGGGGGAGGTGCCCTCATCAAAACGTGGCCAGTGCCGCCTCGCTCGGCGGCGGGGATCCGCGATTTCCCAGTCGCTAAATCCACGCCCCCTTGATCCATGTTTGCGAGTGCCTGAGTAGAAGACGGGACGGATGAAGACCTGGAGGGAGGGTGACTCTCCGCCGAAAACATGCGTGTGAGACATCTGGCTGTCCCCCTTCCCTCTTTCCTGACTGCCTACCAAACCACCCCAACCCAACCCGAAAGCCCGAATGTCGCCCGAATTTCGGGCTGGGGGGGATTACGGGCTTCATATTTGTTTCTTCCATGTTCCCCGACACCCTGCCCACTGGAAATGGAGGGCACATCGGAGCCTTCGAGTCGGGTAGGGGTGGTTTCGTGGGCGGTGATTTCCCCCTCCCCCAGGGCCCCAAGTCGTGTCAAGGGTGGCGGAGGGGGTCCCGAGGCTCCCAAACGTACCCCTGGGGCCTCCGGAGCCTCCAAGTCTACACTCCGTGGACTCTCCGTGGCTCAAGCTAGGCTTAGGTCGGGCATGTCCCCCTACAGGCGGATTTTGGACGGACGATTAAAAATAGTCCCCAACAATCAAAGAACACTCCCAGATGGCAAACAAATCTTGAGAAAATCGTCCCCTGATTATGTTTGGACTATTTTTGAATATTCCTCCTGTAGAGGACAGACCCGCCTTAAAGCTAGGCTCCAACACGCCGAGGAGAGCTCGAAAACAGCCAAGATGGCCGCAAGACTGCCCGAGTGGCCTCCGAGACACCCCAAGAAGGCTCCAAGAGGTTCAGTCGGGCGTGTCCCCCTACAGGCTGATTTTGGACAACAAATATTCAAGAATTGAACCAACAATGCTCAAAAATATGTTTTTTAAAAAATCGTCCTCTGGCTATTTCTTTAAACTAGTTCTGACTATTCCTCCTGTTGAGGGACAGGCCCGACTTAATCAAAGAGGGAAAACTCGCCCCAAAGCCGAGGCAAACCGCACATCTTTAGCATGTTCGCCTCTTTGGTCTCGGCAGCGTTCAAGACTCAAGAGGCCCCCGAGATCGCTCCAAGACGGCCCAAGAAGTCCCCAGCTCGGGGCAGAGGCCGTGCGCAGGAAGCAAACTGCATCAGTCGCAGGATCTAGAAGAAAAAACTGCATAAACGTAAACTGTTGGCGCTCCGCGCGGATTTCCCCAGCGCGCGGGGCACACCAGGGGCGGCGCCAGAGGCGCCGCCAGGGAACCCCAGCGCGGATCCAAGAGATCCGCCCGGAGCGCCCAAAGTTAATGTGTATGCATATGCTTGTTTCCTCCTTCTTCTTCTTCTTCTTCGACCTTCGACCTCCGCGGTGCGCAGCGGACTCGGGCAGATCCCCTCGCCGCTCTCCGACCTCGTCGGGGCAGGGTCGGGCTCTCCCTCTCTCTCTGGGGGCCTTTCAGCCCCCACGGGCGGAAGCGCTGCGCCCGCGGGCGGCGGCGGCGGCGGCGGCCGAGGCCACGGGCTCGGGGGCGAGCCCAAGGGGGGGGCTGCGTGAGAAGGGGCGGGCCTGCTCAGAAGGCTCGGAAGTTCCCCGGGTCCTGGGAAGCTTTCTAAGCCTCCCCCGACAACACGCAAATCCTTGACGGGAGGCTCGGAAGCCCCCCGGCCTCCCGAGGAGTCTTCGAAGGCTTCCCCGCCGCCCTCTGAGAGGGCCTTCCCCTCCTCACTTCCCCCCCCCCTCGCTCGCCGCCGAAACGGGCTCGGGGGCGTGCCGCTCGACGAGCACCAGCAAGGAGCTCGGGCGAGGCTCTGGCGAGGCCCGCGCTCTCCCTCCGGAGGGCGGCGAGGCGAGGCGGACGCGTTCCAGCTGCGGGCACGGCGCGCACGAGCAGGCGGGGGCCACCGCGCAGCTCTTCAGAAGCGCTCGCGGGGGGGGAGAACGAGCAAGGTACAGTGGAGGCCACTCCACAAGAAACCTTCCACAAGAAAGCCAACCCCGAGACCCCAAGAGGTCCATCGATGTTCGGTGCGGGAGCGTCACGCTTTCCATAATTAGCAGAACCATCGAAACCCAAGAAACACAGGACACCCTGGAGGCAAGCAGGGCGCTACTTGGCATGGGGTGGAACAGCTCGAACTCGCACACCTGTGACTGTCAGCGTACAAGAGCACAAACACCAGAGTAGGCGTAAACGTGCGCGGCAAGGAATCGTGCTGTAAGCCGTCTGGTTGTGCACATTATTTGTCGAGCTCTGAGGGTCCTGAGGTACAGCAGCAGATGTGATAGTCGGGGCCAGCTTCCCAGAAGGTTCTCATAACAAACCTGGGCCAATGTCTGCCGTCAGCGCTGGAGGGGCGAACGTGCCCAAGAGACTGGGCCAGCTTTCTGGCAAGTTGGTTGAGAAACGCTGGCCCAGCTGTTCGAGAGTACCCCGAGTTTCTTAACAAGCGTCGGGGGGGGGCGCCACCCCCGCCGACAGCCCCACATCCACCTCCGTCGCGGGCAGCCACCGCGCGCCGAAGGCGCTCCGACCCCCGTCGCGGCGCGACGACGAGGCGAGGTTGACCCCCGTCCCCCTCACGCTTATTAAGAAACCCAGAGTAGGCTTAGGCCAGCATGTCCTCCTACAGGCGAACGTTGGACGAAAAATGCAGCATGGTCAACGAATACGCAAAACATGCACACAAATACTAAACAAATCGTCCCCTGACCATGTTTTGCCTGTGTCTGAACATTCCTCCTGTTGAGGGGCATGCCCGACGAAAGGGTGGGCTTCTTGATCGGACGCCCGACTGCAGCTGCCCCGGAGCTCGCGTGGGCCTCCCGGGGCCATCGGGGGACAAGAGGCTTCCGCGGACCACCCGCTGGCAGGCCGACCCTTCCTTGGCGACCGACCCGCCGCCTCCCCGGCCGCCCTCGGGAGGAGGGCCCCTCCACAGTCGGCGACGAGCGGGGGGGGGGAGAAGCGTGGAGGAGGAGGCCTTCTCAGAAGGCGGCGTGACTTCTCAGAAGCCCTCGCGGCTTCCGCGAAGTCTCTCGTGTCGTCCAGGGGGAGAGGCTTGGGAAACTCATAGCTGCAAAAAGGCCTCCGAGGCCTCCCGAGCCTTCCGAGAAGGCCCGCCCCTGCTCACTGCCCCCCTCGGGCTCGCGGCGCCGATCCAGGGGGGAGAGGGGGGGCCAGAGGGGGGGGCCAGAGGAGGGGAGAGAGGGGGGGGGGACCAGGGCGGGGGGGGGGGGGCAGGGGGGAGAAAGGAGGGGGCCAGAAGGGGGGAAGGGGGGGGGGGCGAGGGGGCAGGAGGGCCCCCCTTCGGCAGGCGGAGGAGGGCGGGCAGGAAAGGCCCACCCCCCGCGGGCGGGGCGGCCGAGGGTCGGACGCGCGAGGCGGCAGCCCGAGGCGGGCACCCGAGCGGCACAATAAGCAGGGCGCGCTTTCCTGGGTCTCTGGGCCTGCGCGTGGTGCAGGGCGTGCGGGGTGGGGGAGGAGGAGGAGGAGGAGGAGGAGGAGGA